GAAGAACCCCAAGGGACCCAGGAGAAAACTGTGGGCAAGACAGTCTGCTAGTCTGAAAAGGAAGTTCCTGTTCGGGTCAGTGTGGGGAAGTGAGGTGACAAGAGCCCACACCAGGACTGAAGACAGATCACAATAAGAGGTAGGCTAGGTTTATCTGAACACACGACATTACAAATCTGAAGAATACAGCTTCAAGAATGCCAAGACCTACACTTCTAACATTCAGCAACATACCAGGGTACTTCCTCTAGCAACCAAATCTGGAATAGAATAGGAAAAACTAAATGCTTATTTTTGTACATTTCTTTAGATTTCAAAATAATGGGCAAATTCCAGCACGGCCAGCAGTACAGGAGGAGAGGCAGTACCAACTTCTTTCCTCAGACCCTCAACACTGACATGACCAGACCTGTTTACCCCATCATAGCACCATAAATTATGTCCCTAGACCCTCACCCATCTCTCTCATTTCCACCCACAGAACCATGTCTTACAATGAACTTTGTAAGAATGCAGTTCTTATCTCTCAAATAACATATGCCCAGTCTTCATGTCCACTATATGAGGCGACTGGTGAACAGAGGATATCTCATTTGGCTGATGAATAAGGAGACATGTAAGAAGTAAAATTACTGGCAGATGATTTTGAAAGCTATCCAACTACTATTAAGTCAACCTATGGGATGATTAACTGCATAGGAAATTTTCTAGTTAAATGTTTATATTGATTCTGTTTTGAAATACAATTTTAAGATTTCAAATAGTTGTACCTTGGGCTATTCAAAACAGACTTCACATACAATAAAATTACTTTTCTTTCATAGTGTACATTCTGTGTGCTTTTAAAAAAAGATGTACTTATTTATGTGTGCGTGCATGTGCAGAAGGCTGCTCTTTTGGCTTCCACATAGTCACCCAATTTTAGTAAGCTGCCATGGAAACCACAGCATCTACCTCAGGGATGACACTCAATAATTGGGAGCACAATCTGCAATTTCTTTGGGACAGCCTTCTCTGGTGCAGGTTCTTTTTGTTTATGCTGACCTCTAAGAATTACTAAGACTTTCAGAGGCAAAGCTTCCTCTAGGTTTATAGCCTACATGAATATTAGACTGTACCCAGGATGTATTTTGACTATAAAAGAGTCTAATATTCATGTAGATTGTAGGGCCAGGGAAAGATATTAAATCTCATTTATCTTCCTCCCTTTCATTTTCTTGCCTTCTCTCAGCCCCTTAAAAAGAGCCTTAGTTAAATGCTACAGCTAAGTGAAGCTGATGCTGAGAAACTACAACTGTGCAGATTCTCTGGGCTGGAGGACTTTCCCCTGCTAAAGCTCAGGTAGCAGTGAGCCACATGAATTACCACTGGGTTTAAAGGGGTGTCATGGCACTTCTACTAACAAAGCCACGATTAATACTTGCAGGCCCAAAGTTCAGTGACATTTTCAACAACTCAAGGCTAAGGACTTTGTTGTCAATAGGTCTGATAGAACAGTATCTGCTTTAGAAAGAAAACTATACTTTGGATTAAAATAATTTGGTTTTAGTGAAGTTCTAAGTCTGTCATTTGTTTAGGTGGCCCAGTTGTATTTTAAAAACACGCTTAAGGAAAAGCAGAACACCTCAACATTCTCTGGCTACTGTCCCAAGTCACACTTTCATACAAATGCAGGGGCCTACAACACTACCATAATCAAATAACCAAGAGACAACTCACTAAAAAGGATTCATTGCTTCTGTGGTGTTAAAATCATATAACTCCCATCTAATTGTCTGATGATACCAGATGAAACCAAAGTTAAGGACACAAGATATCTGATCATTAGACACTGAAAGGTGAAGACTACGAAGCACAGCCAAGAGTAAGAAGGTTGGTAGAGACTGACTGAGGACACACGGCAACCTGAGGGGGGGGGGGATTCTGAAACAGAAAATGTACTGTGTGTGTGTGTGTGCGTGTGTGTGTGCGTGTGCGTGTGCGTGCGTGTGCATGCGTGCACTTGCACACACATGCTCTAAAAACAAAACAAAAAAACAATTCTTGGTCTCTCTACTGCTTTATAGTCTATTTTGTAAATCCATATATGTGAGGCAAAGCGTAGCAGGGCTTAGCAGGGATTCCATGTCCTGTGTTGTGGCCCTGGCTGCACATCAGAGTCCTTGAGGAGTCCCTAGACCAGCATACCACCCCACTCCAGGTACAGTAGTTCTCAAGTCCTCAAGGGACCACAAAGTGTCAGTTTATTTCAACTTGATGACCAGAGGCAAGCTATCAGTTCCCAAGGCTGAAGGTGATGCTACCTGCTGTTTTTTTTTTTTTTTTTCCTGCTTCACTGTCCTTGAAGGGATTTTTTCTAATATAGTTTCAATCTTATGCCTGAGCATCAGTCTATAAGGGCCAACGTGCTGTGCTTTGTTAACATGTAGGAGAATACAAGATGGCAGATGCCCTCTATTATCCCAGCTCTTGTGCCCTTGATGAGAGCCGCTTGTTTTCCGGTCAATTTGTGCATGTAATAACACTTCTGAGATTATACAACTCTCTCTTCTGGTTTACTCGGAGTTCACTTTTAGTGGAGTCTTCTTTTTTTTCTTTCTCCTTTTTTGCTTTTCATTTTAAGACAGCTTCACCATTAGCCCAGGTTACCCTCCAATTCCCCATCCTTCTGCTTCTGAAGCCTAGGAGATGCTTAGAGATGTTCACAGCAAACTTCCATATAGACTGCAAGATGAGCTCCCTTCCAGAAGGACAGCAGCTATGTTAGATGGTCCACCAACAGCAGCCAGTAACAAATGACTGCATCACTGAGCTAGGACTGATGACTAACAGAAGAAACCTAGGTAAGTCCTCTGGAGTATAAACTAGGATTTGAGGAAGAGGAAAAAATGTTCTACACTAAGACATGAAACAATGAAAAATAACAAATATTCCATTTTCAACTAGGTAAAAAGCAACACCACACACAGAAACTACTCACTATAGAATGTGGGCCTACAGTTTCTTTTCCAGAACGGAATGGGTTTTGTAACCCAGTAGAATTGGGTTAAAATACATAAATGGTATAAAATAAATGCTTTCCCAAGAAAGGCGAGATTTTAATTTTAGACCCTCTACAGAGTTGTGTCCAATTCCTTCAAGACCAATCCTGAGGTTCTATCAAAGCCCACTTCATGTAAGTATTCTAGAATACCCTCTCAGATGCACGGGCCTCTGCTGGGGCTTGCAAACACCCAGCGCTCCTCCGGGATTGAGGTGGAGGAGAAAGCCACAGAGCCTCTGCTCACAGTGTTGGTTGGGGAGAGTGGAGTGAAGACCTCACTTTTAAAATGGAACTCCAAACCCACTTAACAAGTTTGGTAGCCAGGAAAAGGGAGGATTTCTTGCCTTATCATCCTTCTGCCCATCAGCCAGATTCAACAGTTAGCACTCTGGTTAGTCTAAAAGTCAGGATTTTTTACTGCACACACCCACGTTCATTCGAAAGTCAAACTAGATAATCATTACAGCTTATTAAGTAGATATCAAATCTACTATGCCAGCCACTAATTCAGAAATTTTGCTAGGGTGAGGTGGTGACTCACAGAACATCAATGACACAAAAGGGAACTGTTAAGAAAACGCAGCCTGAGCAAACACCTTTGTCTTCCCTTTGGAAAACACCCGCAGTGGGCCCCAAAGAACTGCAATAGCCTAGTCCGTATGTGCCACTAAGTGGACTTCAGAAATACTTCATATGGAATTACATAGTCCGCACTTTTTCCTCTGGCCTTTAAGACAAGTGTGCACAAACGCACACACCCTTTATATTACAATAGAAATTTCAAAATAAGATTGCCTCCCACAGAAGCATTCTTCTATTCCCAATTAATGTTGTCACTAGTAAGTGAAAAGTCCACATATGGACACCTGTGACACCAGACCCAAAAGCAAATATCATACAGAATATGGTAAAACTAAGGCAACTTAAATATTCTTATACCTTTAAAACTAAATCAACCAAAAAAAACAGATTTCAGAAATCTGAAATAATCTATTTTTTATTTTGATGACCTCATGCTGGTTTTCATAAAAAATATTCAACCTTAATTTGCTTTAAAATAAAAGTAACTAAGGTAATTTAGTTATGACACGACACCAGGACTTTCATTTGGAACTCCAGAGTATCTGAACGTAAGTTACTTAGCCTCTACCTCACTTTAAGCATGTAAGCTGGGCTGAGTGTGCAGGCCTGTTATCTCAACATCCAGAAGTGCTGCAGCAGGAGGATAGTAAGTTCAACAATCAGTGTAAGCAACCAGCAAGACCCTGGTGCAAAACAAAAACAAAAAGCAAAATAATTGAAGTATGTACTTAAACACATTAGTTTTCTAAGAGTCCACAGGCAGAGTCAAATGATACTATCTTTATACCACTTGACTTTGTTTCCTTAAAGCAGACTTCTAGAACTCAAACTTAGAAGCCATGTTTTACTTGGTACCTTGTAGCAAGAGTAAACTAGATTTTAAGAATTCAGGCAAGCATCCCCTCCACACACACATTTAAGCATATTTTTGTTCATTTACAGTCACAAAAGGGAAAGCCTACAGTCTGTACCACATACCCAAACAAAACGCCAGTTTCAAAATACTAGCTTAGCCTTACAGAGATTTGGCCAGGACAATAAAAACCAAGTAGCCCTCAACTACCAGATGCAAGGACAGAACTCAACCCATTACTCTGAAGTCTAGTTGTAGACAAGTTCTCAATTTAAAGCAACCACTTTTTTTCTAGGCAGGAAATTATTAAACAACAACAAACAGTGTCAGGACAGCACAAGGCAAGGACAAACAGCAGGCAGCCAAGCATTTTGTTGTACAGAACACTCTTAAAGTGGAAAGTTACCACAACAATACCAAATAAGGGGCATTCACCACTTTCATTTAGAAGGTGCTGTTCCTTCTCAGTGCTACCCAGACTGAGCCTCAAGCAAGGAAGAGGCATGAGTGAACGGAACTCACCAGAATACTAGGAGGGGCCTTGCCTTGATAAACACCTGCAGTTTTACTCAACGAGCTTTCTTGAACCTTCTCCTCATCTTCACTGCTATCTTCTGGGTAGAACATCTTAGAACTGAAGAAGCTTATCGAGCATGACTCAACAGAGGTGAAGGCACCAACAAACAAAAGTTATTCTGGGGACAACCAAGTGCTAACTGCCGCAAACAGGGACATAGCTAAAACTGAAAGCAAACAGGTCTTTAAAAAAAAAAAAAAAAAAGCAATGCACACACAACTTTACCAATGAGATTTGCTCAAAATGCCTCAGCCCCATCTCTCCAAAGATAAGCAGGGGCATGGGGCAGGCTGCGCCATGTGTTTACATTGATAGGTACTAAGTCCTGCCCAATCACAAGATACTCAACTACAGCTTCCATCGCACAGAACAGGGATTGAGTTAATGATTCCTTAAGCCAATCACATCTTCTTTTGTGGAAATGAAAACAGCTCTACACAGGGAGGAAAAACTCATGTAATCATGTGAAGGCAAAGATTTCCATATGCTTAGATGGCATCACTGTTTCTATAGTCCAACTACTAAATACTTTTACTTCATTATATTGGCATGACCCAGTACTTCTCAAAAATCTGGGGTCTAACCTAGCTTGGCACTCTATGAACAACGAAACCAGACTTCAAGAGTATGACAAAGCAACATTTAATTCCGTAGTATTTCCTTGCCACTTTCAGGATGTCACTAGGCAGTAAGCTCAAAATTTTCTAAAACCCTGAAACACTTAAGACACGTGGGTGAGACACATGTAAAATATACTTGTTTTCTCAGTTAAAACACTTATTAAAGCCAATTTCAAACATTTTGCAGTTTACTTCAAATAGCCTCAAGCCGTCTGTGCTTTCTGAGCTTGCAAGCAGGTCAGTCCTACATGCTACAAGCTGTAAGTGAAGACAGCCACTGGATTTGGAAGACTGCTATGAAAAAAGGTTAAGAAATTGTGATGTTATGTATGTGCCAAAATGACAGTCTATATTCTAAAATATATTGACTGATATGGGTTTTTCCTACATCTTGTGTGTGTTTAAGCATGGAACAGGTGCACATGATTAGATGTGCACACATGCAGAAGACAGACTAAGTCACCTACCCTGCTTTATTACCCTGCTCTTCCTTATTTCTCTGAGTCAGTGTCTCTCACTAAACTTAGGGCTAGTCTGACAGCCAACAAGCCCCAGTGAGCCCACTGCTTCAGCCCTGGACGGTGCTAGCACTACAGGTATGCACACACAGCTTTTCCTGTGTGTGGAATCCAAACTGAGATCCTATGCTTGCACAGCAGGTGCTCTTCCTCAGTCAGCTCTCTAGCCCCTACACTTCTTTCTATAATGTGACTGATCAGAAACTGAAATTTCTCACTCCATTTCTGCTGCATGCCACTGTTGTTAGGGCCAAAAGACAGTCTTGAGAGGCAACATGTTTTCCTAATGAGGAATTTTAATTATTCTATACAAGGATTTATCAACTAGCTGATCATCTTACATTTAATGAGCTTCACATTATTAAACCTTTTCTTTTACCTTGAACCTTCACAAAGACAAATATTTGACCAAGAGGGGACGGAAATGCTAACTACAGCAAGACTCCATCAAGATTCATGCAATAAAACTGTTGAGTGATGGAGGCGTCTCAGTGGGTAAAGGCACTTACCAAGCCCAACAACTTGAGTTCTGTCCCCAGAGCTCACATGGTGTAAGTAGAGAAATTTTCTCACACATACTGTCCTCGGGCCTTTACACGTGTGCTGAGGCTCTCTACCCCCAAAAGAAATGTAAAAAAATCAATCTTACCAACATTAAAAACAGGAAAACCCATCATAGTCACCTCATTTCCCCAGCTGTCAGAGGGCAGATTAACAAAGCACCCACACTCATTTGCCATTTAATTACATATCACACACACAACTTCCTCCCTTGACAAGAGAACTAAAGAGCTTTGATGGCTGAAACACTATGCATGTACAAAAATTCCAGTCTCTCCTTCATGGCCTGCAGCAGCTCCAGGCCCGTGGCATCAGACAGAGTAATAAAACCTCACTCCCAGGTGAGGAAGAAATCAGAGGCCAGGAGAGAAGAATGGGAGAAAAAGGAACAGGGGATCAAGGAGAAATGGCCTAAGAAGATGAAAAGCTGGAGGCAGAGGGAATAGAATATTGGTAAGAAAGTATGTAGAGCGCACCAAAGGCAGTGGCTAAGCGGGAGGGTGGATGGAAAGAGAAGAAGTGGCTAAGCGGGAGGGTAGATGGAAAGAGAAAACTCATCTACTTTAATGTGAGGACACTAAGGCCCAGAAGAGGCCTCTCACTGAAGAAGGAACAGGCACCGAACAAGCCTCCCCTTGTTTGTTTGGTTTTGTGTTTTCATTTTGCCAAGCTGAGACCCAGAGAGAACATGCAGGGGCAAGGGGAAAGCAGCTGACAAGACCCAGAAGTGAAGGCTCAACAAATGAAGAGTGCAGGGACTTGGCAGGGCGATGACGGCGGAGTAAACTCTGTGGGCAAGGGCCACCTCCAAAGGCCTCTTACATAACAGCCCAGCCATCAGGTTTCCTGCCCGCCTAGGTATTGTGTCACTGTTTTGATGAGTAACTCACAGAACGTCCTGTGGGCAAAGGAACGTGTACCATGGACCCAAGCAGAGATGAGCTCATCTGAACCTATGTCACCGCAAGGCACACACCTACACCTCCCTCCTACGGCCAACCCAGTGACACTTTCCATCATGTCCAATTCACAGTAAAACCACAGCCAGCGATTCTCAATGTGCTCCATAATTGTCAAAGAAAAGCATGGTTAACAGTCCTGAGGGCTGTGGAAGTAGCACAGTTTAGGAGTGCTCACTTAGCCTTCAGAAAGCCCTGGGTTCGTCCCTAGCAGCCGTACAGCAGGCGTGATGGTACATGGCTGCAGTCTCCGCACTCAGAAGGTGATGGGAAGGGAAGCAGGCAGGCCAATGTTATCCTCAAGTAGGAAGTTAGTAAGGCCAGCTTGGGTGAAATGAGTTGGTTTTGTTTTATTTTGTTTTTCCTGTGGGAGCATGTCTCCCTATTTTTCCCAAGCTGTGCTCAACCAATTCTACCATCTTGGCCTCCTAAGTGCTGGGACCATAGGAAAATAGCACTATGTTGGCTCTTTAGTGATTTTTAAAACAAGAAAAGTAGGGGGCAGGATGTGGCGGTGTATGTCTGCAACCCCAGTACCCAAGAGGTTGATAGGAGGGAGGTGAACCTGGGTTATAAAATGAGACTGTCTTGGTTATGGAACGGGAAAGATGGACAGAAATAAAGTCTCCAAGATTTAACTTTTCAAAAGAGCATCTAGCTTCAAGAAACAAAAAGTGACGTCTAGAGAATCAGAATTGTATTCAGATTCCACAAGTGATAATGATGCTCAGTAACGTATACACATCCTTTGTTGATGTTTCATTATTAACCCCAGAAGTCCATGGGACGCTGGGTGTGAAAGGCTTCTTCTTCCTCTTCTTCTCTCTTCCTTCTTCCTCTTCTCTTTTAAAAAACTTTTTATTGATTCTTTATGAATTTCACATCATGCATCCCAATCCCACTCAAATCCCCATCCCTTTGTATCTGCTCTCCACCCCTGCAAACTTCCCAAGAAAACAAACAAAAAGAAAAGTTGTCCAAATATCTCTGCTTGCAAATGTTCATTGCAACGAGTCATTGGTCTGGTTCAAGGCCTCCGGCTTCTGCTACACCATCAATACTGGGTCCTCACTGGGACTCCTCTTGGATATCCTGCTGTTGCCCTGTGTCATGGAGAGCCTGCAGCTTGGATCTGTAGGACCGACCCCTTCATGTGCTCCAGCAGTTCACAGGTGGGGTGGATGTTTAGGTGGGCCACCTCAAAGGCCTGCATACCAGTCTCTTTCTTTGCAGCAGCTTTTTATACGGGGCCACCACCTCCTCCTGGACATGACACAGTTCTTCCTCTGAGCACATATTCATGAGCAGCCCTTTTCTCTCCTGTTGCCTGGCTACTGCCGTCAGGCCAAAGGCCACCCTGGGGGAATGAAGGCTTCCTGGCTGTGGCAAGGGACCTGGGAAGAACTGTGGTGTCCTTTACCACATGTCTAGATGGACTAGCCACAGCGAGTGTGTATGGCCAGGTCCGATGCTGCAGGCAGGCAGAGTGTGTGCTGGACCCTGCAGGCTATCTGACTGTCCAGCACTTCCAGTGGTCATGGACTTGTCCTCTCCCACTCTGCCTTCCAGGGAGGAGCAGGCCTCAGGGTTCAGTGGTCATGCTGTGAGATCCCTTCTTTTCACCTTCTGCAAGGAAGCTTGGTGGTTCTTTGCTGTCTGTAAGGTCTTCTGCAGAGAGCTCTCATCCTGGCCCTGTCTACATGGAGTCCACACCCATGCCACTCCAAGCTGATACTTCTCTTGAGGTCTGTTCACCTTTCCACCAGCCAGTTTGGACAGCTTCTAGAAAGAATGCCTTTTCCAAAATAACCCTTCTCCTACAGCGGCTCTGTGTCTTCAGTACCACTCACCACCACGCTACTGCTAAGCATTTCAGCTGGAAAGAGTTGGAATTCCTTCCTGTGACCTTAGTCCTAAGCAAAGGGAGATCAGCAGTGGTGATTTGTAACTCTCAAACACTCTTCTTTTCCTCTCTGGCACATGGAAGACTGCCTCCACCATTCTTCAAGGGTAACAGGCCGCTTCCGTGGCTCCATATGTCCACCCCCTCTTTTCTTTTTTTAAAGACAGAGTTTCACTGTGTAGCTCTGGCTGTCCTGGTATGTAGAATAGGCTCACCTTAAACTCACAGAGATCCTCATATCCCTTACTTCCCTGGTGCTGGGATTAAAGGTGTACACCACATCTGCTCTGTGGAGGGCTTAACCATGAATAAACATTTATTTAAAACTTCACATGATCAAATTTCAGGTAAGGAAACTGTGTTACATTGACTCAATAGATATTATTTCAAGCTATAAGCTATTTTTTCCTTTCGATAAAAAACCACAAAAATAAATGAACTCCCTCTAGTGTTCACACTGTGGAACAACAACTTCTTTTGTATTAGCAAGGAACTGTATTTTTATTAGTTAAAAAAAAAAAACATGAAATATTCTTAAATGGCAATTAAAAAAAAAATTCTACAACCCTAAGCCACCCACAAGTTCACAGATGTACTTGAAGGAAGTAAATCTGAGGCTAGCCTGAACTACAAAGT